CAAAAAATTATAAAAATACAAAAAAATATGTTTTTGGAGAAGAAAGAAGAGAAGGAGATAGAACAATACGCATTCTGGTTCAAGGCACAAACGGATTATCATATCAACCCAGAAAAATCTGAAATTTGGTAGACTAATAGGAGACAGTCATACGAAGCTACAAAAAAAAGAGAACATAATTTCATCTTACGGTCAGAAAGTTATGACCAATTTTCCAAGACTGAAGAAGAAGGAGACGAAGCTGTAAGGAGCCAACTTAAAACTTTTCCGCAGGACGAACCACAAGGAAACAGGAGACATTCTTCATTTCGTTGGAAAGATCTAGATCTCAAGATTACAGAACATCTTTCAGATCTCAATTATGAGGTCTGTAGGAAGCGCAAATGCAGTTTGAAGCACTGGACAAAACACTGGTCAAACGTTTTGACCCATGCTAGCCAAATCTGGAACGAAGGCCGAAGTGACCCTAACACCGGTCACGATATTGGTCGGAAAACATGACCGGTGTTTGAGCAAAAGTGCCTCGCGACCAAAAAATCTTCAAGATGTGTCCTCCTAACACCGGTCGGGATCACCAACCGATACTTTGATCGGTATTGCCTCGGACCCACAACTCGTCCTTGATCAACTCGTTTCGCATCCTTTGCCAGCTCGTCCTGCGTCCCAAGTAATTTTCTTGCATTCCTTGCCTCGTCACACATGGAGCCGCATCCCACCCTCCCTAACAACGGTCACGCACAATGACCGGTGCTTCGACCGTTGTTGCCATCGATTGTTGCCTCCACCCGCAACATGTACTGCATCCCTGCCCAGTTTGTCACGCGTCCCACCATTTCCCGTCCCATGTCCTACGTCCCAGCTCAGTCCATGCACGCGTCTTAAAGGTCCCAAACAACGGACGAGAACGTTGACCGGTGTCACGACCGATGTTACACCTTCTCACGTACCCCACCACCTTACCGCGTCCCTTTCAACGTACCACAACCATCCCTTTCCACCCTTGCTCGTGTTCCACCTAACTGCGTCATGTCCCACGATAAAAGGACCAGAGCAAACTTGACCACGGACCATCGGGTTCGAACCATCGAACCGCCCACATAACCGTCGAGGTAAATTTTCTTAAATTTTCTCTTTTAATTATTTTGAAAACCATTTTTCATTCATTATTTACAACATTTAGGAACCAAATTTATTTTTAATTTTGAATCTTCTAGAGTTTGAGCTCGAAATAAATGTTACAAAGTAGACCGCAGCTGATAGTCCGGACAGATCCCGGGCTATCAGATTGCTATAGATCAGAAAGAGTGTAGTAGGCCGGACAGATCCCGGGCTACTCGGTTCATTGCGAGTTAATAAAGGTATGTAAACGTTTTCGGTGTTTTCCGGTCGGTGGTGACCTCCCGGTGAGCTCTCTGTCGGAGTTAGAGACCTAAACGGTAATGCTATGGGTCCCTTGTACTCTTTTTAGAGGAATGGAAGATGAATGGTCACATCACGTTGTACTCCTATTTATAGTACAAGGTTGAGGGTACATCCTAGGTTTTATTAACTATAGTTACCGAATCTGACTCACGTTTAACCAGACCGCGGTTATTGTTTGAGTTGGGCTTTACTGTTTGCGGGCTGAGAATTATTTAGGCCGCATAATCTAATGGGCCGCAGGTCTAGGCCCAACACATATGTATCCTATGAACTTGCAAAATGGAATGACTTCTTACATTTTACAATTGTTAGGGACTTACCAAATAACAGTTTGACTGGAGGAGTGCCCGATTTTCTATCTAGCATGAAGTCGTTATCCATCATGTAAGTTGATTTAAATGAATATTTATCGGCCACTTAATTCTCACTAGATCTGTCTATTGTCCTGTAATGGTTTCTCTGCCTTGACAGAAATTTAAACTGGAACGATCTTACGGGTCCTCTTCCTAAAGTCTTTCATGATAGAGAAAAAAATGGGCTAGAGCTAACGTAAGGTTTTCACTTTTATGTTATATTCCATCAAATCTCCACAGTTTAGTCTTATTCAACAAAACTTGTGCTTTCTAAAGGATCCAAGGAAACCCAAAGCTTTGTGCTGATGCGTCATGCAAAAATAACAATCAAAAATACATTTTACCCGTTGTTGTATCGGCAGCTACTGTGATCATCATTGTAGCTTTGGTGATTCTTGTTATTGTTTTCAAAAAGAAAAAGCCAACGCAAGGTACTTAATTATACATGAGA